CCCCTTGATCCGCCGTTGGTATAGGATACGCCTTTTCATCCTAACTTAGGGTGTGCACCGAGCCACTCAATGGGAACGCATAAGGGGACGGACGACTCAATAAGCTGGTGATTATGATGATGATATAGGATAGAGGAATATAGGACATATTTCCAAAATAACTTTTCAGCGGCTTCGGCATCTTAGTATTCTGACGGATTTAGATGGCCGCTTGCTCGTTTGCCACCATGTTATAAAAATAAATGTAAAGTACATATCAAAACTACTACATAATCGTCGTTATTCCTATGAAATTAAACTTCAAAATACAAATCATCGTTTTTTTATGCAGTGGTGCTGCTAGAACATTTAAAAAAAGTATGACTTGCGTATTTCGGTGTGAGTCTAAGATATCTTAGATAAACAAATGCTATATAACAGCCGAGGCGTTTTTCGTATCGAAGATACTATTAGTGTATTTCGACGAGAACGGACACGAAAATGGCACCGCAAATTAAACATACAAAGGTAAGTTAAAAATAATAAGAGTGATAGACATAAAAACTAATATTTTTTTTATATAAATGTAAAATATAATTTAAAATTCATATTTTGTATTTTATTTTAAATTTAAATTAAGTGACTTGTACTTTTTTAATATGTTGTAACATTATGTATTAAAACTGACAATATCTCGAATGTACAAAAATCGGTTCGGTTTCCCGCCCCGCTCGTATGGCCCCAAATATTCCATTATCGTAATTTAATCGGTCAGATAAAAACCAATAGCTTACTTTTAATGTCATTAAGTTCGTCTATTAAAACATCATTTAAATATTCAAGTCAAAATAATTTTGCAATTAAAGCATTTAAGGAAATCTTTTTGTTTTTTTATATTATTTTTTATAAAGTCTTTTACACAATAACTTTAAAATGTTCGTTCAAACTAAAACCTTAATTAATCAATAAATTGATTAACTACTACCTTATCGATATCTCTTATGGGAATAGGAAATATGATTTGGATATAAACGTCAAGATAATCAATTATTCCGTTTTCTTCATTTCCTACTGGTAGCTCTTTTTTCCCCTCTAAGTAAATCTTGTACAAACCCAAATTAAAACAATTACAGATAGCTTTATTTTTTTTTAGTGACATACTTGGTGATGTACGTTGGTATAGACTAGAAAAATATATATTTTTATACTTATTACAAAGGGAAATCACGAAAAATAAATTTCTGTAACGTAATAATCAGGTGTTCGACTTATCTATTTTTTGATTTCAAACATGAACGATTTCGTATCTGTTTTCTTCCTGTGATACTAGTCGATATCGCTTGCCATTAACATTGTATAGAAAATTAACATTGAGCCAAAACTTTCGGATATTTATTTGGATAAGTAATTTAATAGAAATATCTGATATTTCTCATATTCCTTTAAGTAAATATTGTAATCACACTTTACTTAAATCTGTTAATTAATTTCCGGAAAATAATAAATCGGTTTTTTTTTTTAATTCAGAATTAGCATTATTATAATAATGTAAAAATAAATACGTACAAAGCCTAAATTCCTTTGCAGTATGTTTTGTATTGCATAATAATACGAACGGTATTGAAATCAAATAATGATTAAATTGAAAAACAAAACACGAACCAGCTATCAATATTCTCTAAAACAAAGCTCTGTAGCACGGTAAACAACAAATAATTTGATTTAGAATATTTATTGTATTTTTGCTATAGTGGCCAGAAATACTATTTTTTTAAATAAATTTCCATTATTTTAAGTCATCAACTTGCTCTTCTCCCTACGGAGGATCAAAGTACGTCCTGCTCTCCCATACATTTCTATCAGCCGTCGTGTCTGAATCCACTCCTTTAAGCATATCGTCTTTCACACAGTCCATCCATACTTTTTTTCAGTCTTCCTCTACCTTTGTAGCCATCCACATTCCATCTTAACACTTTCTGATTTGTGTCCTCATCCTCCTGTTGCATAACATGTTAGCATGACTTGGCATGCTAATTTAATTATTTTAATTATCTGTTTCATAATAATTTGTTAAAACTATACTCCAAGCAAGCTTTTGTGCCAAAAGCAAGTAAATTACGTATGAATATTAAACTGAAAATTAAATGTGAGTGGAGTTTAATTTTTGTTTTTATTTGATCTACAGCTGTTCATCGACAACCAGTGGGTGGACGCCGTCAGTGGCAAAACCTTCGATACTTACAACCCTCACGATGGCTCCGTTATCGCTAAAATAGCTGAGGGTGATGAGGTAATTAATACACAAGCAATTTTACATTGATTTTATCTATCAAATAAAGTAAAGAATATAAGACAAATAAACAAGTCACATAAGACTTTCTATGACGTGGATTTTATCTGGTCTGGTCAGAATTTTTCCTGTGGTTATAGGGTTATTTACTTTATTCGTCGTATGTTTTACTCATAGGTTAAATTCTTTGTGTGACGTAACGTTTTACGGCAATTTTTTGCAGGCCGACATCAACCTAGCCGTGGCAGCTGCAAAGCGCGCCTTCCACCGTAACTCAGAATGGCGTTTGCTAGACGCGGCGCAGCGTGGTGCCATACTGTACAAGTTTGCAGACCTGGTAGAACGCGATGCTGACTACCTGTCCGAACTTGAATCCTATAACAATGGAGCGGTTGCATCCTTCGCGAAAATCTTCACTCAATCAGGCATACAGTCAATCCGCTACTTTGCCAGTTTGGCTGATAAAATCCAAGGCGACACTATTCCCCTAAGTGAGTATTTATCATTAAATGTAGTTTTTACTCATTATTCATCCTTTTATATCAAACATCAAGAACTTACTGCGCCATCTAAACTTTACAGCATGATAAATAAAAAAAATTAGATTGCGAAGTATTGTGCAATCAGTTAATATTAAGAGATTGGTTGGAGATTCAGTTTTAAGTTCGTTCAAATGCCAGATTAACTTCTAATAATATGTATATAAATACAAAACTGTTATGTAGCTAGACTAATTTTTATTTCTCTATACAGGTGGCGAAGTGTTCTCGTACACCCTGAAGCAACCCGTGGGCGTGTGCGGGCTTATCTTGCCATGGAACGTGCCGATTTTGATGTTCATCAACAAAGTTGTAACTGCTCTTGCTGCTGGTAATTTTTTTATTCTTTCTTTATTATTCTACTGTTTTCTTCCCGAGTTAATGAAAACCTGTCTTCAGGCAAATATCCATCCCATTCACTTCTTTGTTACTCATGTATTCTTTCCTGGCTTCTTTACTACTATCTCGTCTTTCAAGTTATCATAGAATTATCTTTGAGTATATTGCCAGCTTATTCCTGTATGATTAAGTTTACAAAGTATTTTAAACATTTGAATTAGTATTATTAACTTCGTGATATGAAGGTTCAATATTCTCTTGTACTTGTGCATTGGTGGTGTCGGAGATTTAATATTGCTGCAATGTGTTAGGTTGCACTGTGGTGGTGAAGCCGGCAGAGCAGACGCCGCTGACAGCGCTGGCGCTGGCCGCTCTGCTGAAGGAGGCGGGCGTGCCGGCTGGCGTTATCAACGTCGTCAACGGCTTCGGCGTTGGTGCTGGTACTGCACTCACCCACCATCGTGACGTCGCCAAGATCTCTTTCACTGGTTCTATGGAAGTAAGCAACAAATTCATCTACGATGTTTAGCCTAATACTAGTTCTTTAATTTAATAGATAGCAGTTGACGCAATTGTTTATCATTTGTCCACATTTATTTATTAAATTAAATATTCTAAACGTAAAAGTTTACTAAAAAGGGAAAGCTAAAAAGAATAATATATCGGTACCAATTTTTACAATTGTCATCACACGTTTCAGTTTAAAAAAAACACGATTAAGCATGACTTAACACTACGTGACTCAATACATGTATGTAAGTTATCCTAATATTTAAAGTTACGACAAATCTAAAATATTTTTTTTTTTTTGAAAAACATCAAGATTAACTCGTACAAAAATAAACAGTTTTATCTATTCTAGTTTTGGTTGATAATTTTATCGCATCATCGCCCGCGTGCGTGATTACAATATGGACTTTGAGATCTTTGTGCGTCGAACTATAGTCATTGGTTCAAAGTACACAATTACATCATTATTTAACATGACTTATGTTTTATCTTCAAACAACATCATAATGCCAGCCATTTAGGAAACGAGCGAACTATTGAAGAACACATGATTAAATTACTACTTAAAATATGTTTACATCTAAAGTCTAACTAAGTTTGGAGTTACCAAATACTGTTAAGTAACAAAACCTTCCGTTACACGGTAACTTATAGTTGCTACGCTTTTGTTACATAGTTGTATGTAAAATGATACTATCGTACTATTCTCTAGGGATCGATAAAATACTTTTGTATGAATGTGCACAGGAGTATGTAACAATGAAGCTTTTGTATCACCTATTCAAGCTATTTAAATTCAATTTTACATCACCTATCAAGTTTAAGCGCCCATAGCCTAACGGTTTGGGGTACGGCCTATCGATCCTGCGGTCAAGGGTTCGAATTCCGCCATTCGACCATTGTCGTAAACTATATCCTAGCACAAAAGTTTTCAGGCTTACTTGGAATGTTTAAAGGAAATATTAGTAAATATACAAGAATATACAAATATTTCTTTTATAAAAAAAGAACAATTTGTAATTTTTCATAATCTTTTATCAGGTGGGCAAACTGATCCAGCAAGCGGCTGGTGCTACCAACTTAAAGCGCGTGACCCTCGAGCTCGGCGGCAAGAGTCCTCTCATCATCATGAATGATGCTGATTGTAAGATTGATTTTTCAAAAGCTTAAAAACCAGCCAAAATGTATCTTATTCTTCAAAAATTTATATGGAGCAATTATCAAGTCAAAACATCTTCAAAAAAGTTTACAAGATTTTTTCGTCTAGAAACATCTTTTGTTGACATCATTGTGAAATGTATTTAATACTTTCAGTGAATGCCGCTATACCTTTCGCTGCGTTCGGTGTTTTCACTCATCAAGGACAAATATGCGTGGCCGCCTCTCGTCTGTACGTCCAGTCGGGTATCTATGATAAATTCGTTCAGGGAGCCGTCGCTTTCGCCAAGCAGAGAACTGTTGGAAACCCCACTGACCCCGCTACACAACAAGGACCTCAGGTTAGATTGGACATCCTAAACATAATGTTTATTTAAAATAACAGTCAGTAATCAATACCAAAATTTTCAAGGTAAAGATCATTTTCGGAACATGCTTTAGGTAATAAAATATATAAATAATATTCATAATGTTACATGTAGTTTTTATTGCACAGATCGATGGAGAGATGATGAACAAAGTGCTGGGATATATTGAGAAGGGCAAGAAGGAGGGAGCAAAGCTGCTGACCGGAGGCAACCGCATTGGCACTTCAGGCTTCTACATCGAGCCCACAGTCTTTGCTGACGTCACTGACGACATGACCATCGCCAAGGAGGAGGTATTAAAAATAGCTTATTAAGATATCTTATGTACTTACGTTTAATCATAATTTTATATCGCCTTATCCAAAAATCATGTAAACGAATTGAACAAAGGATATCAGTCTTAACTAAATATATTTTCTACTCGAAAAGATCTCTTATTTCAAAATGTGATGTACTTTTTATATTGTTTATTTAATACTTATAACAATTTTAATTTCAGATCTTCGGACCCGTGCAAAGTATCCTGAAGTTCGACACACTCGAGGAGGTGATCGACAGAGCCAACGCCACTAACTACGGCCTTTCAGCTGGTATCTTCACCACCAACCTTAACACCGCCCTGCAGTTCAGCAAACACGCAGAAGCAGGAGTTGTATGGTGAGAACATTTTATTATTTTTTATCACTTCTACATTGGTAGTTTACAGTACATTGATGAATAACGGACACCAATAACGAAGTCGTTGTTTGATCCGATCAATCCATTTGTTCATCATTAGAACGACGAAAAAATATCAGTTATATGTAAGGATAGGGCTATATTTACAAATTAAACTTACGTTTTACGAATTGTATCCATTTTCAGGGTCAACACTTACTTGACCATGGGTCCCCAAGCTGTCTTCGGAGGCTTCAAAGATTCTGGTCTCGGAAGAGAAAAGTGAGTATTGGTTCTTTTGGTTTTGGATCAAAATTGCTCACTTAAATAAATTGTAAACTGAAATCTAACATTTACTTTATTTTCCAGTGGTCCGAATTGCGTGGATGCTTACTTGGAAGTGAAGACTGTCACCATAAGCCTTCCCAAGAAAATTTAAATTATTTCACGTCTCATAATTGTATTTAAGCAACTGCTTTATATCGGTTTTATTTATATTAAAATTGTTGTGAACTTCATTTATAATATTATGTATTTTAATAAAATTGATTTGTTACATAAATAATGGAATGAATTATTTTTAATGCCCTCTATTTCATACATCTTTTGTCATATTCTTTATTGCGGTGTTTGTAGACGAACCTTCTAAATTCTTTACGAAGTTACACAAACTTTTATTAACTAACTACTTGTATTTTGAATTAGCAGTTTTCGATTTGCCGATGTTATGAGCACTTATATAATTTTTATTATTTTGTCTTTATTCAAATAAAATGGAGTCCTTTCTCTTAGAACATCTACAAGTGTGATGAGTGAATGATTTCTTAGATACTTAACTAATTAATCTTGTGTCAAAATCCTTGCAACCGTTAGAACTAAGTAATTACTGGTAATGGCTCAGTGAACTAACGGTACGTCTCACAAATCAATGCCAATTATCTTGTCCGCTGAAATTGTACTGTGAACTAATTACTCAGTAGACCTTAGGGAATTAAATGGATTCATGTTTTCTATTAACCTATTGTACATGATTATATTTTTGTAGGAAACTCCTAACAAGGTGCCGAAATACATATTTTTTATTCACCTCGAGATAGGTTGTTGTGGTGGTCGAAGGCAAAAGCCTTTTAAAAAGCAAAGGCAGGTGTTCACGCTGTGATGCGTGGTATGAGACTACCATTTATTTTAATAAAACATATAAAGTTGATTATACAAATAAAGAGTTCTTATTGTTAACTTATTTCTAACTATTAAGGAAGTTGATACAGTGCTTCTTTAATGAATCTAAATTTGATATGCTTGTGAATGTCTCCTTGTCTTTATGTAAGTTATGCCTACATGACTCTCGTTTGATAGAAAAAAGTTACCTTTTTTATTCGCGGGGCAAATCTAATTAAGATACTTTGTCCCCAGTTTAATACATGGTTATGTAAGGTTATACCTACTAAAACCCCCTCGGTGACCATCCTCTAGTGCTACAAGAGGGGCTCCGGGATGTCCGGTGGAACGCACCTGTGCCCCACTACAGTCAGCTAATGCGCGTCCCAGAGAGCATACGCTCCATTTATAAATGTTACGGCAACACCACGCCATGTTTCCGTCTTCCCGGAATAGGATATCAAAGGTCAGGGTCCCCAACCTGACTAACTCGATCCCAAGCGTAAACTAATGTCATCCCCATGCCCTCTGCTGATGCGCCGACACCTGCGCCTTCTACTGCCATTTTTTTCTGGGATCCAGTAGATCCCAGAAATAAGTTACCTACGTTTAAACGCAACCTTGTTTTGCTTTATGAAGTTAAAGAACATTATCTATGAATCACTATGAACACTATCTCGCTTTTATATATTACATCTAAAAAACATGATAAAGAAATATAATTCGAAATGCCTAATGATTAAGGGTACGGATTTTCGATAACGTGGTCGACTACCTTCGAAGGAATGAATAAATATAATTATAATTAGAGTATAAGAAATAAATCTTAATATTTTAATTACAAACAAATATTAAGTAACTAGTCGGTATTTTTTTGTTAGAGATACATATATTTAAAATTAAATTAAACCTAAAAATCTAATATCCACTTCGTATTTCGTACTAATTTCTTTACTCGGGGTGCGCTCCGGAATCCGAAGACTTAACGAAATTATACCTTTCGGTTCAACGAAGTGCTCTAAAAGCTTCAATTGGAAATTTGCAACTGTGACTGGCAAATACTGTCTAGTTAAATTTAATAAAAGTCATCCCAAATAGAGTCCTATTTACCAATAGACATAATAAACGGTTGAAATTTTACAGTGGTAGAGCCCGTTTTAACACCTTTTCACGAATGGGTCTGCTCGACTGGTGAAATAACACGACCACACAGAAGACAGGCGTGAAGTGGGAGCAATTCCGCGTTTCATCATGAGTGTGGTGCCTGTGGCCCAATTTTAGTCCCTTTCCCGTTCCACCCTCTTCTTATAAGGAAAACATTGGATGGAAAAGTTTATTTGACGGTGGAGGAGACATAGGAAGGGGAAATATCCTCTTTACGTGCGTTTCGTCCTCCGTCGATTTAGGGTAGGAAACGCATCTACAATTGCGGATGTCTATAGGGCAGCGGTCCCTTCGCCATTATGGCGAATTTAGGTGGCCGCTTGCTCGTTTACCACCATAATATATTTTTTTAAAATGAACTGACATAAAACTAAGTTTAGTTGACGGGACTTTTACTGGAAGTTAGCCGATGTGTACGTGACTTAGGCTTCTCTCTTTAAATTCTGTGCTGACAAAATCCTGGACAACTGCTTTTTTATATATGTCATGAATACAATGAGGGATCATCCCGAATATATGTTTCGGTAGAACCTCAGCAAATTGGTATCGTTCAAGGTGAATAAATACATAGGCAACAATAAATTCAACAAATGTTTATTAGACATATTATCAAGATACGAACCAACACTGTTGTGTTAATTAAATAAAATAACTAATCTGTTTCGTTAGAAAGATAGAATAATTGATATCGTTTTGTTGTTCAAAATTACATGTGGAAAACTGTAATGCTCCAGGGATGCACTTAACCCAAAAATATTACATGAGAGGGACCGCCTATTGCCTATTATCTTATCATATGGCCGTGAATGAAAAGTAAACAAAAAAATTCGATATACGCTAAAATCCGTTAATTACGAAATTTTTTCTTAAAAGCATTTTTTTCCAAAAAAAACTATTAAATCTTTCTCCAGCGACTCTTTCCGCTTGGAAACAGTTTAGGCTACAAATTCTAACAAACAACTATGCATCCATCTAAACTTTAGCATTTATGATATTAGTAAGAAGGAAGATTGGGAACTACCCAGATTTTACAAAATTTATAGCTTAAAATACAGTTAAAATTGTTCTTTGTTAGAGTGCTAATGGCCGCCATGAACGGAATTTGATAAACCATTCTTCTTCTCCCTAAGACTTTTTCCAAATCTTCATACAGCTACAGCATTCATTACGCTTACTTAATTTGGAATTTAAATACAAATTAAAATCACAATTTATTTACATGTAATTAACATAAAATAACATAAATTAATTATTTTAAAACTTCTTTGGCAAGTTTATGGCCACTGTTTTCAATTCCAAAAACGCATCGACAGCCTGAAGACCACTGAAATAAAAATGAAAATAAAGTTTTAAATTCCAAATCATATTATACAATCTTTCATTATAACTACGTATGTCTGTGAACATCTGTCGCCTCGCCATTTTAGCGAATTAAGGTGACAGGTGCTTGTTTACCGAATACTATGGAAAAGTAAAAAATAATCTTACTTTTCAATTCCAATAGATGAATCTTTCCATCCACCAGATGGTGCCTGTGGTCCCATCATTAAATATGTGTTTATCCTGAAAAAAAAGTATATCAATACTCTATATAGCAATCCGTACGTATTTCTTTGTGTTTTAAGCTCTTCTAAATCCAGACGAATTGTCAAATCATTAAATTATCCGTTCTCCCCGTAATCTTCTATCAAGGGCTTAAATCTTGTATTAAGGGATAGTAACAAAAGATAATTATGTAAGAATTTAGTAATTTGTCGCAGAGAAGCGCACAGAGGGGAGAAATACCCTTCGAGAGATTGTCAAGGAGAGTGTTCACGACCCTCAGGAATGAGGAAACGATCCGGAGAAAGAGAGAGAAGAGTTCACTACAAATGTTTTGGAAGAAACTTCAAAAAAGGCTTACCAAACTTTGCCGACTTCCGCGTGCTTGCTAAACTGCAAAGCAGTGTTGAGGTCATTGGTGAAGATGCCGGCGGCGAGGCCGTAGTTGGTGTTGTTACATCTCTCGATAACTTCCTCCAATGTGTCAAACTTGAGTATGCATTGGACCGGACCGAAAATCTGAACAATTGGATATTGTTAGTCATAGGATGGATTGTGTTCGTATTGAAAAATGAGTAGTTTGTAGCATATGAAAAAAATGTATGTACTGATTCTGTTAATTTTAAACAATATACATGGATTTGTATATAAGCTTTTTCATTAGTTTAAAATTGTTTGGACGATGTTGTAAGCTTCGATACAATAAAATCAGAAGTAGCATTGATGATGTCAAGAACAGACTTACCTCTTCCTTGGCAATTTTCATATCATCTGTAACGTCAACAAAAACTGTTGGCTCTATGTAGTAGCCAGTGTTGCCGACTCTCTTTCCTCCAGTTAGTACTTTCGCACCCTCCTTTTTACCCGACTCAATATAACCCAGTACTTTATTAAACATCTCAGCGTCAATCTGTAAATTGAAAAAGTGCATTCTTTGTAAAACAGTTTAGTAGTAATAGTTATGACTTATTTCTTTCGTTTAAATTGTTTTTTAATTTATTATGTGACCTACCAAGGGTTGGTGGAAATATTTTGGTCAAAAAGTATTAAGAAACGGATTATTTTAAAGATATGTCAGGCAGGCACACAATTTTTTGTACGCTGGGAATATTTGCAAGTATTGTAGGACTTACTTGTGGTCCGTGTTCGGTAGCGGGGTCTGTTGGGTTACCGATGACCCTCTTCTTAGCCATGGCGACAGCTCCTTGCACAAACTTGTCGTAGATACCGGACTGAACATAGAGTCGGGACGCCGCAATACACATCTGGCCCTGGTGTGAGAAGATAGAGTACGCAGCGTACGGAATTGCTACATTTACTGAAAATAATATATAACAATAACATAACATAAGTAACAGATTGCTGTAACATTGAGTAAACTTTAAAAATCTCATTGAAACTGATACGTTGATAAGGAATAGAATGGAATTAAGTGAACCTTTGATTGCGGCTAATTATTATTATTATTGCTACAAACAACATTAAAATGTATCTTACAATCTGCGTCATCCATGATGACCAGCGGACTCTTGCCGCCGAGCTCCAGTGTCACTCTCTTCAGGTTGTTGGCTCCCGCTGCTTGCTGAATAAGCTTGCCAACCTAAAAGATACAATTTTAAAATATTAGACCATACCTATGCGACAAAATAATTATAACAAATTAAAGTAAATTATTTCCTACTAACTTCAAGTGATCCGGTGAATGAGATCTTTGCCACATCACGGTGGTGAGTAAGCGTGGTACCGGCGCCAACACCGAAGCCGTTAACGACGTTAACAACGCCTGCCGGCAGTCCGGCTTCCTGCAGTAACGCGGCCAGCGCCAGCGCTGTCAGCGGTGTTTGCTCTGCTGGCTTCACCACCACAGTGCATCCTAATACATTGCAGTTGTAGTAAACTTAATCACTTAAATATTAACACAGATTAAGAAAAAAGTAAAAGAAGAACTAGCTACTGCATAAGAGTTTGGACCACACTTTAAACAAAACTCGGAGATTAAATATTTACCTGCAGCCAAGGCAGCTACAACTTTGACTACAAATAGAAGGATTGGTCCATTCCAAGGCAGGATAAGGCCGCATACTCCAATGGGCTGCTTCAGAGTGTACGCGAAGACTTCTCCGTCTTGCAAAAAAGGAATTAAAACATAATCATATTCAAGTTCTCCTCTCTAATGTTTGACTTATTTAGAGTGATTTACATCGACTAAAATACTTACTCAAAGGTACGGTATCTCCCTGTATTTTATCAGCTAAACTGGCTAAGTATCGGATATTTTCCACAACACCGTACTTTAATGACAGGAGTGCAGAAGAAAGCAACATTCCATTGTTGTGACATTCCAACTCGGCGAGGTACTGCGCATCTCGTTGCACCAGGTCGGCGAACTTGTCCAGAACTGCCCAACGTTGAGAGGCGTCCATTAGTCTCCATTCGGAGTTGCGATGGAAAGCGCGCTTTGCCGCCGCCACCGCTAAGTTGATATCGGCCTATAAGAAAAATAATCACAGATTTAAAACCAAGACAGCTAGGACAGGCCTGTTAATATAGCTTAAACATCGCGGTGGATAGTTCAGACTTCATTTTTACTCCTCACTTTATTTTTTTCGCTTCATATTCATGTCGCCTTGGACGCTATAACGCTAATTGCTAGTTTTTAATGACAATTGATAGTTTAGTATTGATGTTTGGGATTACCTCATCGCCCTCAGCCACCGTTGCGATGACGGAACCATCGTGAGGGTTGTATGTATCGAAAGTCTTGCCGCTGACAGCGTCTACCCACTTGTTGTCAATGAAAAGCTGAAAAACAAGAAAGACACATCAAACTACTTAATTAAATTTTAACATTTTACCATTATGCTCTGATAAGATCAATGTAGCCCTCATCTCATTTAATTTATCCAACATGTTGTATAGAAGCAGTTTATAGTAAATATAGTTTTACCTTAGCGGGACCATATTCCCGCTAAGGAGAGTGGAAGAAAAATCAAGGAGAAGCATAGTTTTCCTTGCACAGTGACTTCAAGTATTTGTTTAATTTTTCTATAAATGAAAGAGAGTTAAAACTATAACTGTTACGGTGGGTATTCATTGCCAATATCTGTATCAAAATGGGCTAACTTGGTTTTTAAAAAAAAGGGGGTATGTCTGGTACTATTCTATCAAATATATTGTAATACAAAGACATCGAAGTCCAAGAAGAAATAAAATTCGAACCTTCGTGTACTTGATCTCCGGTGCCATGTTAGGTCGGGAACGTGATAAACACCTTGTTAGAAACGAAAAGCTACAACCCAATGAGTTACTTGAATCAGACATTATGTACGAGTATTTATCTAAGTACTCCTTAAAACTAATCAGATATTTGTATTACGATTCTTGTCTAATTTATCATATAACTTTTATTATCAAATATTCGATAATAATTACGACGGGGTTTATGAGTCATAATTTTAATATTCACTATTTTTTATTTAATTAAAATATCAAACTCTTATTGTTACAATTTCTCTTTATTTGCAAATGTAATATTTGTACAATTAGTGTCAACAATGTATAAGCTAAAAACTTAATGCTTACAAGGCTACGTAAATCATTACCTCGCAAAAATATCGCGAATCTTAAAAAAGTATAGCGCACGCTTATACACAACGATAGACCATTGTACAAAGGGCTTTATATTTATAACTTTAAAATAAAATTTACAGCCAATCTTCTAATGTAAGAAAAAGAAAACTATACTACACTTAAAAATAATATTAGCGAGTGCGCTATAAACTATACCTTAAAGTGTAACACAACCCTAAAATGACGCATTGTAGTAATACGGATACTCCAAAATATGATACTATGCAAGATAAGACTTAGTATCTCTTGCTAAGCTGATAAGTACTGTTGAATCCTCCGATCGTGTACGTAGGTCCTTCGTTAATCTATCTATTCCTCCTCCTGAAATAAACCCAAGGGGTAATGGATATACACTATTTCCCTTGAGAACTTTTACCATTTTTTGTAGTAGATGGTGGATTTTGATCCACGACCCGCCACTAGTTAATAGTTATCTATAGTCTGAGTATAGGTAGTAATATAATAATGAGAAAAGATCTGGATTTTTGCATTGATGTATGTATTGAAATAACTCAAAAACTACTGGGCCGATTTCAAAAATACATGTACGTTAAAAAGCTATGTTATTACTGAGAAACATAGGTTAATTTTTTTTTACTATTTATTAATTCCACGCGGGCTAAACCGCGAGCAACATCTACACTGAATATTAGACAATTTAACAGTGGGAGTAGTTTCCTCCTTTTGAAAGTCGGTTAAAAATCATTTAATTTTTAGAAATATTTTTAAACTACTTTCACTCGCGACTCCGTAGGCGTGGAATCAAAAAAACAAAAGTGAGTATGTGTTCTTCCAGACTATCTTCTATATCTACATTAAATTTCTATCTATAAACATCTAAATCTGTTAAGCTGTTTATGCTACAAACTCTAAGAAACATCCATCCATCTTAACTTTCACATTTGTAATATTAGTTAGATTATACTAATATTATAAATGCGAAAGTTTAGATGGATGGATGTTTCTTAGAGTTTGTATCATAAACAGCTTAACATATTAAAATGTTTGTTTGAGTTTGTAAATCAAATGGCAGAAAGGTATTCGATGAAATTTGGCATTGACGTAGAGGAGTCTGGAAAAACATGTATTCAGTTTTTTTTTAATTCCACGTGGACGGAGTCGCGGGCGAAATCAAGTGTAATATAATTATTTTATTTCAATCTTAATACCGATTGTATGATTGTTTTAGTTCTTTTTAAAGTAGTTCCCTTTTAAATCGGGTTTTTAGTAACATAAAAATTGGCTTGAAACCTCTTAGATTCTTGTATGTGTCGTATTAGCATCGTGGGCTCCCCTACTATATATTATCTACTTAATTATCACAGTTACCTACAAAAGAACACTAACATCTGATACATTTATTATGACACATTGATTACGTGGATATAAACACCTAATTACTTAATATCATTTAGATAGATAATTTTTTCCAATATGTCTTCTTCGATGTTATTAGTTACTGATAAATAAAAGGAAAAATTATAAATGCCACAGGTTATTAAACTTATGTTTTGTACCATTTACATATATTTTATCATCACACAAATGCTCCATAGACAAGGACGAAGCTAGCAATTTTATGGAATACTGGCTGTTGCTCGTGACTACGCCCGCGTGGAATTAAAATGTAATGAAAAACATAGCTTATATTACTCAGCCATAACGCAGTTTTATAATGGTGAAATAAATTCAGAAATCGGCCAATAGTTTTTGAGTTATTTTCAATACATACAAAAATCCAAATCTCTCCTCTTTATTATATTACTATAGATATGAAACATTTAATATCTTGGTACTGAAATCCATTAATTCATTTATTTTTTATTTATTTGTTATTCATATCAAAGTTCGCAAAAACATATTTTTGTGAGACATTTACAACCAGACCCCAAACATTTCTTCTCTCGATTGTTACTTGTCCTACTCTAAGTCTACATAGTTGACTATTAAAATTGCTACCAAAAAGAAAACTGGAGAGGTAATTTGGAATATATGAGCCATGAAATCAGTATAAAATACGTATATTTTCCTTAATATATAATTTACTAGCTTTCGCCCGCGACTCCTTCCGCGTGGAATTAAAAAAAAAGACAAACGGTAGCCTATTTGTTCCTCCAAACTATTCTCTATGTCTGTGCCAAATTTCATCAAAATCCGTTTAGCCATTTAGACTACAAATTCTAACAAACATCCATCCATCTAAACTTTCGCATTTATAATATTGGTATGAAGTATGATTTATTGTAAATTGTAATTTGTATAGTTAAAAAAATACAAAAACGGTTGATAATTAACTTATTTCAATTTATTAGGAATCAAATTTTAATAAATAAATAGCTAAAATTAGAACTTCTTTGGCAGGCTAATGGTGACGGTCTTTACTTCTAAATAAGCTTCCAATGCGTTGATGCCACTGAAACAAAGAATAATTTTAATCCCTCTCCCTTTCCACACTTTTCTTAAGAGGAAAGGATGGGAAGGAAAAGTGGATTTGACGGTGGAAGAGACGCATAGGAAGGAAAAATGTCCTCTTTATGTGCGTCTCCTCCTCCGTCAATTAAAGGTAGGTAACGTATCTGCAATTGCGGATGTCTATGGGCAGCGGTCGCTTTCCATTTCGGTGGATTCAGGTGGCCGGTAACTCGTTTGCCATCTTATATTATACAAAAAAAAATTCCGCACTCAAAGAAACATAGTAAAAAAACTTCATTTAACATTCACTTACTTTTCCCTTCCGAGACCAGAATCTTTGAAGCCACCAAAAGGCCCTTGTGGGCCGGACATCAAGTACGTGTTTACCCTGAAAATTTTGATTAATTATTATTATGGCTTACAAAAGAATTTAAGTAATTAAATAATAACATTAGGTGAAAGAAGTAGGAGTTTTACAATATTTATTCTATTTCACAAAGATTCATAATTTTAATTTCTTGCTATTAACAATGTAAGGAGTTTTAAATGTTTATATCGTTCTAATTGCAAAGAGCTTCGACCAATACCTCAAGAATTTCTGGCTAGACAGTGCGATTTAGGAGCCGAGTCAAAGGCAGTTATTTTAGAAACCGCACGCATTGTGAGGTATCTGTCTGCAGCCCTGACCACTGGTTGCTTGAGTCGTCAGATTCCGCAGCGGTGATGATCTATCTTTTATATGATACGTTTTATTTTATTTTTATACAAATCATGTAAAATGTATTACATCCTAAATTTGACTATATCATACATATATCATACATATATGTTTGTTAGTGCTTGTAGCCTTAACGGTGTTAATAAAATTTGGTATAGATGTAGAGGATAGTCTGGAAGAACACATAGGCTACTCACTTTGGTTTTTTTTCTTTAATTTCACCTGGACAGAGTCGCAGGCGGAAGCCAGTAAGTAATAAAGATATATGTGAAATAAAAAATATTTCTTACCACACATTCCCTGCCTCTACATGCTTGGTGTACTGCAGCGCGTTATTTAGGTTGTTTGTAAAGATGCCCGCCGCGAGGCCGTAGTTCGTGGCATTCGCTCTGTCGATAACCTCATCCAATCTATCGAACTTGATAATGCTCTGCACCGGCCCGAAGATCTTAAATAAAATAGATTCAACAATAAATTAGTATTGTTTTTACATCTAAATCTACATACAAACAAAACATGCAATAACAGCTTTTTGTATGTATTGAAATAACTCAAAAATTACTGGGTCGATTTAAAAAATCTTTCGCCGTAACAAAGCTATGTTAAGTAATGTAAATGAGACGATGTCAATAAGATTAAATCCATTATATAAACATAAAATACTTATATGAAAATACCTCTTCTTTAGCGATGGTCATATCGTCAGTGACGTCAGCAAAGACTGTGGGCTCAATGTAGTAGCCTGAGGTACCAATGCGCTTGCCTCCAGTCAGCAGCTTTGCTCCCTCCTTCTTGCCCTTCTCGACGTATCCTAAAATTTTATCCAGCATATCCTGATCTATCTGCAAATTACAAATAACAATGTTAGATAAAAAAAAAACGGTTGAAAACTTTCCCATACATTCTCGAATGTTGTAGAAGTCATCAAACAACAAACATAAACAAATAGTTACTTATTTTTATGCAATTTAACGGATTAGGGGTTATCTAGGACTTACTTGCGGTCCTTGTTCTGTCGCAGGATCTGATGGGTTTCCGACAACACGTTTCTTTGCGAATGCGACGCATCCCTGTACGAATTTGTCGTAGATACCTGACTGCACGTAAAGACGAGAGGCTGCCACGCACACTTGCCCTTGGTGGGCAAAGATGCCGTTGGCCGCAACTGGTATTGCAGTATTTACTGGAAATAGGAGAAAACAAACAAATTAAAAAATAAGAGACAGCTGTTAACGTTCTTTAGTTTTGACATCATTCGCAAGGTTAGATATTTTTAAGAATTTAAATGTCAAATTCTTTTCAAGCTGATTG